ACCCCGCGCAAAGAGAGCCGCGGGAAACGTAGTCGCACATGTGCCGGGGGGGCCGTCTCCAGAGCGAAGTCCAAAAGGTCGCGCTGCCGGCGCAGGGAGAGGCGCAGCAGAATGGCGAGGCCTCCGCGATGAAAGGAAGTCGAGAAAACGCCCCAGGACGGCCACCGCAGCAGCGGCGAGGCGGGGGTAGTCCGAACGGCCTTGTGGAAAAATTCGACGACGCTCGTGGCCGAGTTTTCCACGGTCGTGGTTTTGTCGAATGCCCCATCTCTATTTCCATCAAGAGCCTTTCAGCTTGCCGTCGACGGGGTCGCTCCCCGCCGCCGCCACGAAGGCGGCGGCGCGCTTGCACCAGGGGCCCTCGGACTTGTAGATGATGTGAGCGTGCGTGATTTATTGGGCGTAGCGAATCGTCCAACCCTCTCAAAACGTGGGCGGCAGGCATTGAAAACGTCATTCATCCACTCAGACGGCGGGCCTGGCGCGATGGACGGGCTGCGCCGGGCAAAGAAGGCGACGGAGCCAGTCTCGAAGGTTGACACGTCCGGAAAGCTGATGTGCCTGTGGCACGCTCTCAAGGCCGCTGGGGTTTCGTCGTTTCTTCCACTGGCCCCCAGCACAGCCTCGCATTCCAGGGCACGGGCATATCAGCCGCCATGCTCTTCGTACTGGGAGAGGCGGTCAGCGGTGAGCGGCTGGACCTTACTGCCGCGAAGCATTGCGCTGTCTCCTCGTAAGTAGGCGCCGCGCGGGTTCCGTTTCACAGGGACAAGGGCGCGTGAACTCGGCCACCTCGGTCCCCAACCTCTCGCGCGCAAGAGGTGGGGTGGCTGAAAAGGAGCCCCTGCTGTTGGACTCAAAATGATAACAGAGGGGGGGGGGCAAGGAGGCGAGCGCTGACGTCCTGCCCGCCCCCCCCATCCTTTTGTTCCACTGCGTGATTACTCGTCTTTTGGCCGCGCCAGGTCTCGCATCTGACCTACATGCCCAGGATGCGGGGGGAAGAGAGAGAAGGAGGAGGGAAAGGATCAGGAAGAGGAAGAGGAGGAGGAGTATAATGAGGGAAACAAAGGATGAGGAAAACAGCGACGAGAACGACGAGGACGACGACGAGGACGACAACGACTACGACGACGAGGACAACAACGACGACAACGACGACGACAAGAACGACAACGACGACGACGACGACGACGACGACGACGAGGACGACGACGACGACGACGACGACGACGACGAGAACGACGACGCGGGCGCCGCGCCAGCCGCCGCCCAGCTAACGCCCGCAGCCGCGGGCACTCGAGCCCTCGGCGAGCGCGCGGGGAGCCTTCCGCCGAGCCGCTCGACTGGAGCCGAACGCGGCGGGCGCGGAGGCGAGAGGGCCCACTCGGAACGGCCGAAGACGCCCCCCCCCCAACAAAAAAACAAAAAAACAAAAAAAAAAAAAAAAAAAAAAGGATATCACCCTTGCCCAACCAGGCGCGCGGAAGCACAATACGCGGAAGGGCGGCGAATATATTCAGCGCGAACTGGGGGGAGAAGGAAAGAAGTAATCACAATGAGTAATGGTTCAAGGGAGAAAAAGAAAGAGAGACGACGCTGGAGAGGCATCGGGGGGCGCGACGACGAGGGGGGCCAAGGGGTGGACGAGGGGAGCGAGGCGGTAAATATGAGGAAGGTGAAGGGCAAGGTGGCGGAAAGGAGGGGGCGGAGGAGGAGGGGCAGGAGGCTCTCTGTTGGAGACTATGTTAGCGCCCCCGCGCGGGCGGGAATTGAAAAGGAACGGAGGAAATATATGTTTCTTTCAATAGAACGCGAAGAACTGGAATGCTGAAGGCGCGGCGTAGCAGGAACGAAAAAAGAACGCAGGAACGCAGCGATAGAGGCAGCGTGTTTTTCCTCACGGCAAGGCGCTATCTGACAACATCGAACGGGCGCCGCGGGCACACAATGAAACACGACAGAATGCAACCACCAGCTGTGCGGAGGCGCATAGGTGCGAACGGAACGAAAACGCACGAAACCGTCAACGACGCGCTGGCGTCTGCGAGAGCGCAGAGGCTGGGCGCTCGCGGCAGGGAGTAGCGCGCGGAACAGAGCGCGTTGGACGCAGAAGCTCTGGCCACACCATGGTATCACTTAAAGCTTCGCCGCTGGAGTGCGGAACTCAAGGGCGCATAGGACTCTAACGTGATCGCGGTGGCGGACGCGGCTGAGCGCCGCGCACAGTTGGCCGCGCGCGAAGGGGCGGCGACGCACGTCGACGACGCACCAATCGAAAGTGCACCCAAGCCCCCCATTGAAAGAGGACGCGAAGGCGGGCCTCAGCGGGCACTGCTTGCGAGTCATGGTGGGCGTTCCTCCTGCAATGTGCCACCTGAAGCATATCCGCGGCAATGGGAAGGCGCGCCCGTCTAGAGTCTCAATGGGCACGTGGTTCTCGCACATTTCTTGCAATATGACAGGGGCGTGGTTCATCGGCCGATCCTCGGGGCTGAAGTGGCGCATGAGCTCGTGGAGCGCTCCTTTCACAGGTCGAACGCAGTGCGGCGGAGAGCCCGGGTGCTCCCGCGAGTTTAAATACTCCGCGGCGACGCGGGGCTCGATGGAACTCCCCGCGCCCATGGCGATTGCGTCGCAGCTGCACTTGTCGCAGCTGGGGCAGCCGTGCGTTTGCACCAAGGTCTGGAGCATCCGAGTGTTGCGTGCGTCCACCAAGCTTTTGGCGCATTCATGGGGGTCGTTCAGCGCCAGGGAGCAGAAGACACGGCGTCGTGTTCCTCTGTAATGGCGGCGCGCAAGTCCAAGCACACGAGGCCGGTCTCTCTGTCAGCGCCATGCTCGGCGGGCGCGAGCCCTTCGCCAATGCAGCCCACCAACTGCGCGTAGCGCGAGTCCCCCGTCGCTAAACGGTCCGGAGTCGAAAACACGAGAACGCGCCCGAGGGAGAGGGCGCGAACACGCTGGCCTGGACAACTGTCAATCGAGAGGCTCGCGGCACCACTGGTGGGATCTGCCAGAAGTCGCAGCAGCAAATAAACGTCTTGGGGACGCACGCTTCAACGAGAAGAGTTTGGAGCGCGCGCGGCAAGCCGAGCACGGCCTCCCAGGCTGGCTTCTTGACGGAAGGCCACTCGCCCCACTGAATGACCGCAGCCTGCGCCGAACGCAACGCCGCTGCGGAGCGCGCGCCCGGCGCGCAGGTGAAGTCGCCCTCGTCAGCCAGCGGGGCGCCGAAGGTCGAATGAGCGGCAGCCCCGCCGGGCAACTCCAGCGCGGCCTGGCCAGCGATGGCGACGTTGGCGACAGCGCGCCCTGTCGCCAATGCCTCGCTCGCGATGCGTCGCGCCAGCGTGGCCACGCGGTTGGCGACCGCTTGATTGTCGGGGGTCCGCGCGGACCAGCTCGGCGGCAGCGCGCCGTTGGCGCGGCGGCCGCAGGGCGGGTTCCGTTGTCGGGGCGGCATCGGGGGCATCGAGTTTCCAGGTGTCTGCGGCGCTGCCATCGAGCAGCCAACTAGCGTGGAGGGCCCGCAGGAGCCCCAGTCGCGCCGTCTGCAGCGAACGGCCTCGGTTAAGAAAGTCCTTCAGCGACTGAGACTCGCACTTCTTGCACAGGGAAATCGGGGCCGCCCCTTGTTCCAGAAGCACGAGGAAGGCGAATCTGAGTTGCGCGGCAGTGTGCTTCAGGTCGATGAATTCGTCGAACACGGCATGCGCTTCGTCGGACCGAGCGAAGTGTCCGGTTGCCAGCATGGCCTCTTCGTGGGACGGGAAGGTTTCGCCATTGTCGCGTTTGTAGTCGGAGAATGTAGTCTTCGGGCCGTTCAGCAGCATGCGACGCTAATAGAGAACCTCTTTCTGCCTGGGACATTCCATTTCCAGCCGGCGCAGCGGCACCTCACCGCGTCGGCGCGGGCACACGAAGCACTTCTGGCCGGGGGGGGGCTCGGTCCACGGCTACGTCTGGCGGGCTGCAATCCGCGGCTGCAGCGCGACGATCAGGGAAGAGGGCCGGGAGGTGCACGCGGAACGGCAAGGGGCACCGCGATGCAACCACGTAGTTCTCGAAGCACTCGCGGCACATCAAGTTCGAAAAGCACGGCGCGGTCGGGCGGAAGACATACCGCCGTAGAGCAGAGACGTGGGACTGCACCGCTGCCTCCTCGGCACCTTCTTCGAAATGACCCAATCCTCGCCTTCAAGATGCACGGGGAGGCACACAGCGTGAGGCCACCGACTGCACACGCGATAGCCGAAGATACACCGGGCGCGCTCAGTGGCGCACAAGGTGCGCCCGCGGAACAATTCCTCCAGTTCGCCCTGTACCGACGCGTCGAGCGCGACGTCGCAACTCGCTTTGTGGGGCCTTTTGAACAGGTACTTGTAAAAGTATTCGAACAATCCGACAATACCCGCGAATTTGATGCTTGCGCGGCCGCCCCAGAGGCCGAGGACGCGAGCGCTGCACTCCACGATGAGGCGGTTGCAGCAGAGCGCCCTGCGGCCGCACAATGCCCCGCCGCCTCGGCGTTTCGGGCAGCGGCCGCCGCGCGGGCGACGTCGTTGGACGGGGTGGCCCCTGAGGTCGATTTGCGCGGAATCGGAGAACGACCGCGGGCAGCCCTCGACGCAATCCTGGGCTGGGCCCTGCGGGCGGCAGAAGAGATTACGGCTAGAGGCCGCGCGTCTGAGCACCGGGGCCCTGAGCTGAACGTCATCGCGGGGCAATTCACAGGACGCGCATCGGTCGGCATCCTCAGGGCTCCAACTGGCGAGAACGACGCATAGAGCGATGTCGGCGTGGGGCAGACCTCGCCTCTGGCACTCAATGACTTTGACAATGCACTTGCGACGGCCGAAGAAGCAGTTTTTCAGGTGCGCCACCATCTTCGCCAGACGGCCATGGGAGACGCGCGCGGCGATGTCCAGACTGTCACCGGGCGTCTGGCCCGGCCACAGCGCGGCTTGAATCCTGGCCCAGCACGGCTTGCACGCCACAGCGATAAAAAAAGACGGCGGACCCAAGCGGCGCGCCAGCTCCAGCGCGCCCGCGCGGAGCTTCCGCAGGTGTCGAAGTGAACTGGGCACGCTGGCCGGCAAGTAGCACTGCTTGCCGACTTTGGCGCAGCCAGCAGGCTCGTTGGCGACAACCTCGCAGAGGCCCACCCCAGCGGCGATGCGCATGTGATGGATGCCCCGCAAATGGAACAAGCATTCGCCCTCCATGCGGCAGAACATAAAAGTAAGCCGCTCGATTAATCTCCCGCGCATGCGCGCGCGGTCGAAACTGAGCAGCCGCCGTCGGCGCCGCCACGCCTGCGCCACTTAAGATCTACCGCGCCGGTCACATCAGCACTCCAGCCGCGGCCTCTGGCCTGGAGTCGCAGAGGGTAGCCAGGCGGTTCGCACGGAGGACTTACGGGGCGCACGCATTCGGGGTGGTCGACCCGGGCGCGGTGAAGGACACAGAGCGGTAGCTGCGCTTGAACGACGGGTCGAAGTCGACGACGCCAGCGACTTCGACGACGCCATTCCAAAAAGACTGCGCCGTTAGACGTGGGAGTTCTGGCTTCGGCCAATCTTTCGACGGCGCGCACGCGCGTGTTCTGCGGGAGGGTGAGCCGCTCCACGTCGGCGAGCATCTTTCTGGGCAAGCCCCGATCATGCGCCACGGTCGCCCGCTCTTGTGAATCAACGGTCAGATACCGCAGCGGCGCGGAATCGGCCGCGGAGAAAACCATTTCTGCACCCAGCACCATGGATGCGGATGTCGCCGGGCCGCACGATGCCGTCGAAGCGCATTTCTACGTCAGCTCCGCTGCTCTGGATCTCATGCTGCGCCAACACGAACATGCCGTTGAATCGGCGGGACAATGCACTGAATCCCGTTCGCAGTGCTGCGCTGGACTGGGCGTCGCACAGGACAGTCCCAGCGTCGTCCTTCAACGGCCAGCGCTCGCGGAAGAAAGCTTTAAGTGCGTCGTCGGGCGCGGCGGAGAAGAGAGCGAAGTCGAATGCGAAATTGTTTCCGCTGCAACACAAGCTCGCGGATCTGCGTGGTACAGATGTGCTCCGCAATGCTGGCAGACCTGGCACGTGTCGCCGAGGCAGAAGGAGGCGTTGCGCGGGCGCCCGTCGGGGTTGCTGCAGGCGTAGCATTTTGCTCGAGCGCGGTGGCGGCAGCCTAGAGGACATGATGCCCATGGCAAGACGCTGCTACACTGCGCGCAGACCCCGGCGTGAACTGCGCGGCCTGCCCACCTGCACTGCGAGGCATCAGCAGCGCATCAGCCCGCCGCGCCTACTTGCTCGAGGAAGCATATCGAGGGAGGTGTTGCCTGCAAGCGGCGCACTGGAGTGCATTTTGTTTTGGAAGCATGTCTCCAAGGAGGGAACTGTTTGAGCCCGACTGGCACACCAGTAAGGAATGGGCCGGGGGCCGTGAATTCGAAGCCCCCCGCGGGCGGGAATTGGAAAGAAGCAGAAATTAGAACGCGCTTCTTTAGAATAGAGAGGGAAGGGAGAGGGGAAAGGAGGGATAGGGGGGGGCGACGACGACGACGACGACGACGACGACCAGGACGACGTCGACGACGACGACGACGACGAGGACGAGGACGAGGACGAGGACGACGACGACGACGACGACGACGACGACGACGAGCGTCGCTGCCGTTCCAGGGGCCTCTGAGAAGCAGATTTGAAGCATCTGCGGGGCCGTTCTGGAGCCTCTGAAAGGCCGCTTGGGGATCTTCCTGGGACCTCCATGGGGGCGTCTCGGTGCCTCCCCAAAATTCCGTTCGGGTACCCCGTCGGGGCCCCCTCTTGGAGCCGTCTTGGGGGCGTCTTGGGCCGTCTTGGGTGCCTCTCCAACCGTCTCGAGGCCGTTCGGGAGTGCTCTGGAGTCGCGGCGCCTATTTGGGCTGTCTCAGTAGAACGATATCGGTGGCCTCTTGGGCCGTCTTGGGGAGATTGCGAATGTTTCCTGGACTGTCTTGGGTTGTCGGAGAGCGGAAAAAAAGGAAATCCCTGGAATCCGTCAAAAAAAAACACAAAAAAAGACTTTTGCCTGTTCGGGCTCTCTTAGGGGGCGTTTTGGAAGCCTTTTGGGTTTTCCCGGAGGCCCTCCTGGACCTTCTGGGAGCTTTCTCAGGGCGTCTGGGGGCTTCTTTGGCCGTCGCGGAGCCAACTGAGGCTGTCTTGTCAAGACAGCCTCTGGAGCGCTCAAGAATCGCTCTTGGAACCCTCTTGGGCCCTCTGGAGCGCTCTTGGACCCCCCTTCGGCCTGTCGGGGCGATCATGGGAGCGCCCCGCGCCGATCCACGCGCCCTCGGGGGGCCCTCTGAACCGCCCAGGTGGCCCTCCTGGGCCGCTCTAGCCACGGCGGCCCCCATCCGGGGAGGTTCCCCCTGCAATATGAAGGAGAGAGGTATAGAAATATAATACGAACAATAAAAAAAATACTAACAATGAAACGATAATATTACTACACTACTAACCATAACACGACTAATGCATAACAAAGATAATAAAGATAACTATGCGAATAATGATGATAATAATAATGAGAACAAGATTTCAAAGCTCGCTTCGCTTCGCCCTTCAATCTCGTTCGCTCGCCCTGGTTTCGCGCCACGCCGAGCAATCGCGCTGCGTCTGGGGCCCGGGGGGCATGGGCGGACGCGCCGGGCAGGGCGCGCGAGCATCGGGTCGCGTCTTGCTAAGGAGCAATATTGCGGTAGTGCTTATTTGGGAAAAAGACGGCCCGGTTCCCGACGCCGCTTTCCTCCCGTCACTCCCCCCTGCCTAGGGCCCCCGGCCATTCCCCCGAATCGCGCGGGCGCCCCCTGGGGCGTCGGCGCGGGCATGCCGCGCGCAAGCTACCCGATCTCTCTAAGATGGCCAACGTCGGGGAGGGGGCGCGCGGAAGGGCAGAGGGGAGGGGGGGGGGCAGGCAGGAGGAGGAGAGAAAGAGAGCAGGAGCAAGAGGGAGCTAGAGAAGCGGGCAGGGACAGGACTGCAAGAAGCGGACGCGGGAAAGGGGGAAGGGGACACGGCGCGGGGGCCAGGCGAGAACGGCGCGGGAGAGGCGGCGCCGGGACGCCATAACCACTTTAGACGGGGGCCGACTGCTTGAGGAGAGAAAGGAAAACCTTAGGAGTGAGAGTTCTGGCGGGCTGCCCGAAGGACTCGATGGCCGTTGCGGCCGAGGTGGGCTTCCGGGAGGCACGGGGTGGGCACTGCGCTCCGCGGGCAGGAAGCCAGATTCGGCGCGTCGAACAAAAAGGGGGGATGTTCCCCCAGAGCGCGTCGGAAAGAAATAATGCAAGCGAGTTGCTTCTTTTGAAAGCCGCGCGCGGCGGCGCGGTCGAGCGGCGTTTTTTCACCGAAATAAGCTGGGAGCGGTGGCGCCGTTGGCGGACGGGCTGGGGTGTCCCGCCAGGCAGTCGGGAACGATGCCACTCCCTGTCGGAGCGCGCGCGGAATCGCGCGGACATGGGCGGGGAGCCCTCACGGCTTCGCAGAAGGCCCCTCGCGGGCCGCGGCCGGCTTTTTGCCGATGGTCTTCTGGACCGTCGGCCCAGCTGCTGGAGGCGGCGCGGTGCGCAAGGTGTCACGGATGGCGGCGCCGGGCATGCACTCGCTGGTCGTGACGATGGTCGGGTACTTCGCCGCGAGCTCGCGGAGACCCTCGAGCGCAGCCGCGGGGCGTTGTCGGCGATCACAGTGCGCCGGCTGATGAGCTCCTTCACGGTGCAGGGCTCTTTGTCTAGCTCCGTGAAGGAGCGCGCGTGCTCGACGCGGTTCGCCAGGACGTGGGGCCCCACCTGGAACGCTCCGCGGCGATCGGCGGCGGGCACGGAGAAGTTCACCTCGAGCCGGGCTTGCTGCAGGATGGAGCTCAGGCCGTCGCAGACGCATTTCGCGGCCCGCTTGCCGGCGGCAGCCGAGTCGCCGCATTCCACGAGGGCCCATGCCCAGCTGGCCTCCCCGCAGGGATTGTTGCTGGCGGTCGGGCCCAGCAGGCTCTGCACCCCGACGGACACGCCGCGAAGCGCCTGCGGCAAGGTCATCAGCGCGACGGCGTCCCTCTGGAAGCAGGCGAGGCCGCGGCGGCCCGCTCGGCCTTGGCGTAGGCTGGAGGCGTCCGCCACAGTGGCACGGGCGCCGTTGGCGCGGCTGCCGTTGGCGTCTATCATGTCGAGCAAGACGTGGGTGGTGCACACGCTGGCCCTCTGCTGGGATGAGAAGGCCTGCGCCAGCCTGGGAGTTTGCTGCGTCGGCGCAGACGTGGCGTTCGCGGCCTTGGGCGGCATCGCAGAAGACGCGCTGGGCGGTCGGATGGGCGCACTTGGGCCAGACTGCTACGCTTGGAGGCCTCTGTTGTGGTATTTTTGACGCCTATTTTGATTTTTTTTTAATATATATATATATATATATATATATATATATATATATATATATATATATATATATATATATATATATATATATATAAACAAAAAAATCTCTTCTAGAATAAGAGAAAAACATACATAGCGGGCGATGCTCGACGATGTGAGGTCAGCAGCGTTCAGCGTTCGGTTTTTTTTCCCAGGGCTCGTCTGGCGGGCGCCAGGCCCCGCCGAGACGCGCGGCGCCGACGTCTGTCAACGTCGGCTCTCGCACGACCTCGCCCACGGAGGCACGCGGGCGCCGCTCGTTGGACCCAGTGAAAAACGCATGGAGGCTGCCCGCGAAGATGCAGAGCGCCACTTACATCTCCCCGCTGGCCGAGGGCGGCGCGCCAGGGCAGCGGGTCTGCAAGAGCGCCTCGACGCGGGCGCGCGCCTGGGACACCAGGTCGACGACGGCGGCCGCCTGCGGCGCCTCGGGGCACAGCCAGCGGCAGGCAAGGGCCCCGTTGGCGCCCGCCGAGTCGGAGGCCGTCGCGTATCCGCAGTGGGAGAGGCAGAGCGCCATGTGCGTGGCGTTGAGGTCCCCGTAGCACAACTTCAGGTCGGAGCTGGTCCCTCTTCGCTGGAGATGCCGCGAGGATGGGCGCGACGGTGTCAAAGCCTTTTGGGTGGAAGACTCTGCAGCACGCCGGAAGGGTCATCAGGTTGACCTCCAGGGTCGGCGCCTTCCCGCTCTTCTGGCCGAAATTCGCCTTGGTAGTGCGGCCCGGGTAGGAAGAGCGCTGCGCGTCTGGCCCCAGCTTGGCTGCCCAGTCCGCGCAGAGCGACCCGAGGGTGATGTAGTCGTAGATGCACCGGGGAGGGCTAGTCTCCAAGGCAAAGTCCAGCAGGTCGTACTGGCGGTACAAGGAGAGGCACAGCAGGGTGGTTAAGCCTTTGCGATAAGGTGCATTTAAGGAAGGATGGCGTCCAGACGGCCACCGCGGCGGCGGCGTGGGGGAGGGGGGACCTCCGGACAGGGGCGCATCCCAACGGACCAAAAGAAATCTAAACCAAAAGTTGCGGGTATGATATGTGATAAGATGGATGGTGGCAGTATGCCTCCACAAGCGTTTCAGCTCGCCGTCGGCGGGGTCCGCCTTCGCCGCCGCCATGAACGTGGCAGCCCGCTGGCACCACATGTCCTCGGACTTGTAGATGCTGTGAGCGTGCGTGAGTGGTCGTCCAGTCCTCGCCGAAACGTGGGTTGTAGGCGTCCCAGACCTCGCTGATCCACTGTGATTGCGGGTTTACCCTAGTAATGATAACAATGGTCATATTGATAATACGGTTGATACGATTAATGAAAATAATAATACTAATTATAAAATTCGGAATAATAATAATGATAAACTCATTGTAATAATAATGTATGAGGATAGCAATAATAATAGAGATGCTGGTAATGATGAGAATAAACATACTAATGCTGTGATATAATGAATACAATGGTAATCATGATCATAATAATCAACAAACTAACCAAACTAATAATGATGGTACGAATGGTGGTACGAAAGGAATATGACGATAATAAAGATTAAACCATTAAAAACACAATACGAACGCTAATAATAACAGCACTAATGCTAGTAGTTTTAAAAATGTAATGACAATAAGAATAATAAAAATCAGAATCATCATCATAATCATCATCAGCGGCAGCATCATCATCAGCAGCATCATAAGCAGCAGCACAAGCATCAGCATCATAGGCATCCTCATCTTCATGCTCGTCCTCCTCCTCCTCCTCCTCCCACTTCTGATCCTCCTCCTCTTCCTCCTCATCCTGTTCTCCTCATCATCATCGTCATTATCATCATCATCAACATCATCATCATCATCATCATCATCATCATCATCATCATCATCATCATCATCATCATCATCATCATCATCATCGTCATCATCACCATGCCTTGCACCATGTCGGCAGGCAACCAGGGGCAGGGGCACTTCCACTGGCCCGCCTTCAAGCCGACAGCTCCACCCCCTCAACCCCACCCCCCCGCCTCGCCTCAGCGGGGTGCTGCTCGAAGAAGCCGGTGAGGATGAAACCTACGAAGAAAGAAAGCGTCCACCGCCACTGGGCCTCCACAGGTTTGCTTCTGGGTCGGCCTGGCCAGGATCCAACATCCACCAAGGTCTGCGCCCACATTGGGCCTGCGGAGGCCTGGTGGTGGACGCGCTCACTCTCCCGAGAGCCAGCGTTGTTGAAGACGATCTGCACACTGACGTCCTTGGTGGCCTGGGCGGCCGCGGGCCCGCATGCGGGCCGCGTGTCTGCTGCTCCGCGCCGCTCACGGATATCCCCACGGTGGGGGATCGCAGGTGAGAGGGCAGATTCTTGTTGAGGGAGGGCAGAGTGCCAATCCCGGAATGAGTTGAGAGGAGCAGTGGGAGGTGTGGGGGTGCACCGATCAGAGAGAGCGCTGGCACTGAAGTCACGGCGGGGCTGCCCCAAAGACAAGCAGAACTCGTGTCGTTTCAATCACGCCTGTCCTTTTTCAATTACCATCTCTTCTTCCGCATCCGCACTTTTTAGCACTCCTCCAGACTTCCCACTATCCTCCTCATGCTCCCCCTCCTCGCCTCATCTTTTCACCCTCCCTCCCTCCCTCTTCCTACTGTAACTGCTCATCTTCCTCCTCCCCTTTTCCTCCTCCTCTTCTCCTCCTCATCATGAACGGATTCGCCAAGAGATTCGCGACAGAGTGCTCAGAGTGCAACCTGTACAGCCAGACATTCCTCATCTTCCTTCTTCTTCGAAGTGGCGGGTCGGACAGACGCAGGAGCCTCCTTCACGTCAGCCATCCATGCCCCGCTGCCGTCGGAGAGGTCAGCCTGCGTTTGCTCTTGCTCTGGCCTCCTCCGATTCTGGCGTGGGGGACCAGTGGAGCTACCTGCCCATACCTGTCACCTCCCCAGCCTCTTCACAAAAGTATGCGTTCCTGCCCTCATCCCCCCCCCCTAGCTCCCCGACCTCCTCCCCGACCTGTGGTCCCCCGACATCCTCCCACATGTCGCGCACCTCGTTTCCCGTCATTCACCCTCGGCAAACGCCAAGTGCAGAGTGAAGACAGGATGCGAGAATAATGCATGAGCAAGGCCAGTGCGATGTTGCACTGCTCGTCCGCAAGAGTCCAGCCTGGTTGTCCACTCGGCTGCACACGAAGCATTCATAAGACCATCGCCCTCGGCGCACCGACATCGTTCCTATGACCGCCACCAACCAACAGCGTTCGCCACACGGCCCAGCTTCGACCCGAAATTGTTGCCAATCGTACATCGCCACTGGGCATCTCGCTTGCACCCGCCCCTCTTCTGGTGCTCGATTTGGCTGGCGCAGAGACACGACGCACCACCGGGGCTCGAGCGACTGGGGCGCGGCCACCTCAACTAGGCACACACACACAGACACACACACACACACACACACTTTCATGTCGTCGGCGCAGGGGGACCTCAGGCACGGTCGGCGGGGGGAGGCGCCAGCTGCGAACGAACTGAATCAATCGAACACGCCATGATGAAAGAGTCCAGTCACGGTAATGGTGGGTAAAAACGAGGGGCGCCGCAATGCCAATATGCAGCGGCCAAGAAACCCGAAGAACAGAATCAAGCTCGACGCGGGTAGATTGAAGCGCAAGCAGCAATCTGGTGGTAAGTGGAGCCTCAAAGAGACAGCAACGAAAAACAACTGCAAGGCTGCCAGACCAGCCAACTGAAGGGCGGTGCGTGCACGCAGGGACAACGCGAAACAGAAACGCTACGGCCCTTGTAGCGTGCAAGTAACAGATAATGCAGCCGTGCAACAGGGTGCATGAAGTCGGCGTGTTGGAAAACACGCGGCCAAGGCCAGGTACCCTTGGCAAAACGGAGCTGAACGCGGGCGACCGCGAGCAGCAGCCGCGAAACGCGGCCACGCACATGGGTAAAAAGGACAGGCGCGAACATGGCCGACGCGCAGTGCTGACGCCAGCGTCAAAAGCAAAACCAAGCCGCAACCAGAGACGCGAAGGACAGGCGCAAGCAAAACCAACAAGATGGGGCAACCGACAAGGCCCAAGAGAGACTGTACGCATCACCGCAAAGGCCGCGCCACTCCGACCAAACAGCGACAGAGCAAAAGAGAAGACGAGCAAAGCGAAACCGCCAACTGGATACGCCAACGCTCAAACCGAAAGAGACAAACCCCCGCGGCGGGGGCGACCCGGATGGAGAAGGGACAGGGGGGGAGAAGCAGCAAGGGCAAAAGCAAGAGAGGAGCCCAGAGAGACGACGGCGGAAGACCCCACGACACGGCCGACCGACGGCAGACCAACGACTGCGAGGCGAGCGCCCTCCGCGACCCACTGGGGGAGGGGACCGACAAAAAAAAGGCGGATGAACGCCGCCAGCAGAGCAAGCTGACATGTACAGCTGCAGATCCAGCAGGGAGCGATCTGCAGCCCCAGGCGCGGACGCGCACGCCCGGGCGCGACGCCGGGAGGCAGAAGCGCAGCAGGCCGCGGCCACGGGGGCCCGCGCCCCGTGTCGGGGCGCGCGCGGCAGGGCGGCAAAGCCGCCGCCAGTCCAGCTGGCAGACGGACAAAGGCGCCGACCACGAACGGTGCCGCGTGGACATTGCCACGCGCGCCAGGAGAGGAGCGCAAGGGGACCGCTGCCTCGGCCAATGCAGGACAGCGCAGGCAAGGCAAGGCCCGACGGCATACCACACGACACCACGGAGGCACGATCCGGCCAGGCGGCCAACCAGCCCTGCCGCCCGAGGCGGCAAGGAAGCATAGCAGCTGGCCAAAGAAGGGCGCAGCACGAGGGTGAAGCGAGCAAGCCCAGGGCGAGACCTGGGGGGCACGCAGAAACGAGAAGCGGGCCGCGGCCATGCCGGCCCGCAACACATGTCGGGGCGCAGGCAGCCCGGCGACGAGGCCGACGCCAGGTCCGGAGGACAGACGGAAAAGAGGCGCTACAGCACGCCGGCGGAGCTCAAGAAGCCAGCAGCTAGGACTAAGACATGGGCGGCGGCGGCAAGGTGGGACACGGCCGAGCGCCAAGAAGACCCCCCCCGAGGCATAGCCCAACAGGGCGGCCCGGAGGCCCTCACCGCCTGAGGCGACGGGGCGCAACAACGGCAAAGCTAGCCAACGGCGCCGCGGGACAGGCCACGAGGCAACTGTGGGGCGCGGAAAAAAAACAAAAAAAAAAAAAAAAAAAAAAAAAAAAAAAAAAAAAAAAAAAAAAAAAAAAAAAAAAAAAACGCCCCGGCGGTCACCGCGCGGAGCGGGGGCACGGGGCAGAAGGCGGCGACGGGCGATGCCGCAACGTCGCGAAAGGACCCCAGCAAGGAAACGCAGCGGCGCGCATCGAAGCGAGCAGAAGGGGGGAACAAAACAAGGCGGAACGAGAGGAACACCCCCGCCAGCTGCACCGCACCAAACATGGGCAAGGGTAGCCCTCAAATCACCCACGGCGCAAAGCATGGGCGGTGGCAGCGTAGCCACCGCCTCTCGAGGCCCCAGGACATCCGCCCCCAGGCGGCGGATATGGATAAATCCCAATGATTCCTCGACCACGGGGCGCTGGGAGGCAAGGCGAAACTGCCAACCCAGACGAGGCGGCAGGTCGGCGTATGACCCACGGGTTCAGTGATTTTACCGTCGGTGCCCGAAGGGGCAGGTAGCCATGCGGCTGATTGACCCACCCAAAGTGCGAAGAGACAGCACATGAAAACTGCAACATGGCCACATTGTCATTCAGGGCTGCATGGGGGGGCCAGCCTAGATCGGCTGACATAGTTTTCTCGGGACCCCATTTGGGAGAAAGCTTCCTGAGCAAATAACTGAGCAAGGAAGGCATTGCTTCGCAATACCTTGCTTGGCGTTGCATAACATTGATTGGCGTTGCCTGGCGCCACACGTTCCTTGGCGCTGCTCGGCATTGTTTGGCGTTGCGTGGCATTGCTGGCATTGCTTGGTGCTGCTTGGCGTTGCTTGGCATTGCTTGGTTTTGCTTGGCGTTGATTGACATTGCTTGGCATTGATTAGCATTGCTTGGCAGTGCTTGGCGAACGGACAACATCAGGGGCATCCAAGAATGGGGTTCGCAGATCATGGCCCGAGGCACGTACGAGGCACAGGCGGGGCCAGGAGACGTAGAAGAGGAAAAGGGTGCCGTGAAACCCGATGAGATCTCATGGACATGGCCATGATATCCATACACCAATAATCATCACCCCCCTCTTGGACGACCCCGACAACCGGGCAACCCGGGCAACCCGGGCAACCCGGGCAACCCAGGCAACCCAAGCAATCCCGGGGAACGCCAGGCAACCGGGCAACGGGGCAACCCGGGGAACGCCCAGCCCAGCCTCAAACCCAGCCTCGCAGGCGTGAAAAAAGCACCCAGCCGATCCAGCTCCAACACAGCTTACCGAACGCCCCGGACGTCTCTACTCCGCTGGCGGTCGGCGAATCAGCGTGAGCCACCTGAGTATATAAACACCTCGGGCAAGCCTGACCTAAGGGAAAAGAACCCAGGCATTCGAAGTCCTGAGTCTTTTGATACGGGGTCCCCGCCCTGGAGCTCTGGGCCACTTCCCCGGGGCCAGCTTCTCCTGGATCGCTTGTGGACGGCCCTGGAATCGGGCGAGGGCCCCCAGGGGCGCGGAAGACGACGAAGGGCCTCTGTCCTGCTGCTTCCCCGGACAGGCGCCTGTGCCTGGGGGCTCTTTCTTGGTCGGGCCATCTGGCCATGCCTGCCGGCGTGCCGCCCCCGCGCCGCCCCGTGCCGCCCGCGTGCCGCCCTGTGCCGCCCCCGTGCCGCCCCGTGCCGCCCCGTGCCGCCTGTGCGGTTCTTAGTGCGACGGCCATACAAGTGTGGATGCCGTGACGATGAGCGCTCTGACACTTGGAAGTTGAAAATGTGTTTAAAAGGTGTAGAAAACATGTTCTAAAAATGGTTTCAAACATGCTGTAACATATTTAAAACATGTTTGAAACATGCTTCAAACATCTGGGAAGTATTTGGCAGCATGCTTCCTGTGAATTAATCGACTTCCACAACCAAACAAAACACACACACACGCACACACACACACACACAAACCGCACCGCACCGCATATATATATATATATATATATATATATACACATACATACATACATACATACATACATACATACATACATACATACATACATACATACATACATACATACATACATAGCATTGCACTCCGCTCTTTTTCATCCAGGCCAGCAGCGATATGTCCTGGCGACAGACCTTCGCCCTGAGAAGGCTGGAGCAAGCGACTCATAAAAACACAACCCCCTGGACCGGTCTCAGAGATACTAAACTCCAGAAAAAGTTACAGGGGATCATAGGCGGGGCGGGCGGGCTCTGGGAGCCTTGAGCCCAAACGAGTAAGGACACGGAGAACAAGGGTCATCCTCACGGCTTCAACGGCCATCCTGATCGACCTCTGCTCAAAGCTAGAACGATACCAAGGTGATCTACCAAGCATTGCACTCCGCTCTTTTTCATCCAGGCCAGCAGCGATATGTCGTGGCGACAGACCTTCGCCCTGAGAAGGCTGGAGCAAGCGACTCATAAAAACACAACCCTCTCGACTGGTCTCAGAGATACTAAACTCCCGATTTGCCGTAGTTACAACTGGAGGCATCGGATTAAAGGTCACAGTAGCCATATATTTCAATTGCAGCCAGGGCGTCTTTAAAGCTATGTGCTAGAGCGTTACACAAGGCACGAGGGTAGGGTTCGGCGATTAAAGTTCGGAAAATACCATTAGACTTTCCGGACAACTCAACGTGGGGCTTATTACTGTAGCTACAAATGCCGCGGCCAGTGCAGAGACGAGAGCATCTGGACAAATCTACGTGCACACTCACGATTCTGGTTCGTTTGCGCCACGGCATATTGAAACCACAAAAATCGGTTCGGATGTTATGCACGGGGCTGAGGCGGCAGGCGGAAGCCATCGGTGGGCACAACCATATCCTGCTGGTCGAGGGATTCTCCAACGCACATGGTATGATGAGACGAGCACAGAGCCTCAAGACGGACGCCGAGAAAGTCATGAGCACGTTCCCGATTCGAACTTTTTCACGGCCCACGGCCGAGAGATCTGGGAGCCCCAGAGGTTCATAATCGCTTCTTAGACGGGGAGGCCCGCCACCCCGATCGCGGGCACGAGAAAAGCTCGAACATGGAGTCCCCATCCAGACTGCAATAACCTGCGACGCCAGCAACCATCCTCGCACACGTTTTTGCACCTTCGGTAACGTTAAATCATACTGCTCACCATGGCGAATGTCAAATTCAACGATAGGCAACCCCACATGCCGTCTCCAAGCAGCTGAGAAATTTCCAGTCCCTGAAAAAAGATCAGTAGCGAACCGCACCTGAATGTGATTGGCCCTCAAGAACGGCAGGACCTGCTCATGATGGCGCCAATCTCGGAGGCGTACTTTGCCGTTGCGAGCCGAGCGCCGTGCGGCAGGAAGTGCAACTGCTCCATCAGGCGGCCTGCCTTCTGGTAGCGACGCCTCGAGTTCGGCTGGGCCCACCCGCCGCGGTGCTGCACGCCTAGCGGGCTCAGACGGCCGAGGCTGATGACGAGGCTTGCGCCCGCATGTCGGAGCCCGCACAGCGTCGGCGGCCCCCCGTCCTGGAGGCCCAGCGCCAACCCGCCCTTCCTGCACTCGCTCCCCCACTGCTGGCAGGTGAACTCGAACACCGGGGCGTCTTGACCGCTTGTCTGGCGCCGCAGGGCCTCCAGTAGCGGGGCCATGAAGTCGTGGTCTGGCAGGTCCAGCGGCCGCGAGTCGTCCCACTTGTTGACCTTCGACGGCTGCCCGAGCTCCATTGGGCGGAGGATCACCGTTCACCTTGAGTGGTCCTTGACTCCGCTTGGCAGCAGCGGCACCAGCTAGCAGCGGCGCAGACTGAGGGCCTCGCTCGGCCTCAGGTAGAACACCACGTACATCAGCACCGCCACCGCCATGGACCACCGGTCGCTGCGGACCAGCCAGTCGCACACCAGGCAGACCACCAGGCGCGAGCCCAGGCTCGAGTGCGCCCCCTCGAACCACTGGTAGTCGAAGAAGTCCCCGAACGCGTCGTCGACCTGCTTCTCCGACTGGAGAGGGAGGAGGCGGAACCGTGCCCAGTCCTCGAAGCTCTCCCAGCTCTTCAGGTATAGCTGCTGGGTGCGCGGCCGGACGCTGGCCGCCTGGAGGTAACTCGGCCTCGCCAGCTGTAGCAGCCGAGCCCCGGCGGGCACCCGCGCGAGCAGCGGCACGTCGGGCCTGCGGCTGCGCCCGGCGCCGCGCCGGCGCCAGCGGCCCGACCCCCTCCAGCGCGTGGTCCCTCGGCAGGGCCGCGACGGGCGCCGATCCCCTCATGCCCCGAAGAGCCGGGTCTCGCGCCCGCGGCCTGCCAGTGTGGGCCGACGCCTTCCGGGGCAGCTAGGGCAGCGGCTGCGCTGCCGCCCCGTGGACCCTGGCCGAGGTCGGGGCACGCGGCAGTGCTGCCAGCTCCACGCCTGGCGACGGCGGCCGGCGGCAGCAGCCCCCTCCGCGAGTGAGCATCAGCAGGGTTCTCCTCGCTCGAGATCCACCTCAGGTAGACGGAACATCCTGACACAAGCGCCAGGGCAGCCCAGCGCCGCACAACTCGGAGCATCCCGGGCGCGGACGTTCGGCCCTTGCTCAGAGCCAGAACAGCCGACATCGAGTCGCTGAGGATGAGAACACGCTTATGCCATGTCTGGCTGTTCCGTAGCACGTGTCGAAGTCCCCATTGTGCAGCTCTGGTCCCCAGCACAGGAATACTCTCAGGACGATCCAAAGCTTGCGACCTCACTGTCCTCCAAGGGCCTCCGACAAGGGATCGAGGTACGAGGTCGACCCCCCGCTCCAGCCGGGCGCAGACGTCCACGCCCTCCGGCACGTTAGCGTTCTCTGCCTTCTCCCCCGTCACCTTCGCCTCCTCGATCCGCTCCCGGGCCTGCTCACGGGCCCCTTCTCCACCCTCCTTGAACCTCCAGGCCTCTGAAAAGCTCATGGCGTGCTTCACGTCGGCCTCCAGGCCCACGGTCTCCGTCACCCCAAGACCCCACTCAGAAGCGTCAGTGGCCAGGACACGCGTGTAGATGGGGGCGCACAGGTCCCGGGAGCAAAAGCAGATAAGACACGAGGCCCACCGCAACTCACGTCGAACCACATCCCAGACTCCAACGCTCCCCCCACGATGGCGCCCGATGAAGGCATACACCCCGCTGAACACCGACAGGAGCTCCCGATGAAGAAGAAACAGATGAGTGCAGTGGCCCACTAGAACCTCGACCTGCTTCCCGCTCAGGTAGCGCAGACGCGAAGCGTGTTGAAGTGCAAGACGAAGACGCCACACCCTTCTCTCTTTTCCGATCACCAGGGGGCGGTCACTCGAGAACATCCAGCCGAGAGCCTCGCCTCCTGGCCCTGCCTCAACAGGATGAGCTCGCAGCCCTACACGCTCGAGCTCGGTCGCAACTCCTTCGGCCGCTGACCGAGCCTTTCCTGCAGACTGAGAGAAGGCCACGAAGTTGTCAACATACGCTGCGTGTGCAACTGGTCGTAGGTCAGGGGGGGCTCGGTGGTCCTGGACGCGGGAGTCGTTGCTGAGGCCCGGGGCCCGATCACACGCACCTTCCAGAACTCTCTGACACCAGTTGAGGGCATGCGTCCAACCCATCGCCAGCACCTTCAGCCTTGGGAAGATCCACGTGTTCGGTCCCACAAAGGCCCCCTTCTACAGTACAGGTGACAACTACGCGTCCCGCCCGAACCTTCCCGAGACCAAAGTAGGGCCTGAGGAGCTCGGGCAGGGCCATCTGGTAAAAAGCATCCTGGATGTCGGTTTGGCCCAATTCAAGGGCCAGGTCGGCCGCGGCAAACAATCGTAACAAAGAATCCCCCGAGGCAAGACGAGTTTTCGGCGGATCCTTAAACCAACAGTTAGACCTACGGGCGTCGATGATTAAACGCTGGGTCATGTTTTTCTTCCAGACCGAAAAAAAGGCCACACTGCTCTTTTACTTCTGAACCGAATTCAAGCATCCCACGTTGAGCTAGAGCCCGGATGACACGCTCATATTCACGAGACCGGTGGAGGAGAGGATCGAGGTAGGGGCGCTGAGGGACCCCGTTCGAGCTCAAACGCTCGCCCGCCTGATCCTTTGGCAAGAGGTAGTCTTCAACAAACTTCTGAACTTCATCGCGGCCATTCTCGACAAGACCCCCCAGGTCCTGGGGCACCCCAGCAGCAGGAAAGCGGAGAAGGTCAAGGTTCAGAGGGGCCACAGAAACAGGGGACCCCTGATAGCTGTGGGACGCCTGGAGCTCTCGAAAGGCCCCCCGGCAGGTGAGGTCGGCGGGAGGCTTACCCCACCAGGCCACGCACTCACGAACGCGCGTCAGCCCGAGGTCGTGCACAAGAGGCCTGAATTGTGCCGGCGAGGCCTTGTCGGTGCCAACACCGACAGGCTCACTGGCGGAAGTGTCCTGGTAGCCACCGAGCTCGTTGAGCGCCCGCGCCACGTCAGACTCCCAGTCGGATCGGTGCTCTCTGGCCTCCACGCGTCGTCGTACGGATCGCGACGGAGACTCCCAGCCCTCATCACGTCGAACGCGCTCATGAACAGCCAGGGGAAGAGCGTCGCGCTGGGCCACAAAACTCGCACGACCTCCTCGATCGTGCTCCCCCTCATGTGTGAAGGCCAGCAGGGTGGGGTCGCCCTCTGGCCTCGGCTCATCACGCGCCATTCTTGCGCGAGAATTTGGCTTCCTCCCGCGCCTTCTTCATCTGCCCGGTAACCCCGACGTCTCGGCCAATCTCTTTCGAAACCCACTCCACCAACCCGGGGCAGTTCATCACTTCCCCGCCTAAGCGGTGCGAGCCGGAGAAGTAGGCCACCCCGTCGCGGGTCACCCCCTGCGCCTGCTTGTTCGCCTTGCTGCCTTTGTTCGCCTTCTCGTAGTGAAACTCTGTCACCTGGCACCGCCCCATGATCACTTCGAGCCCGACCTGATTTGGAAAGTCAATCTGGCCGTACTCCCCGAAGAACTGGAAGGCCTGCATCCCGTGCCGATGTTCCTGAACTCCGAAGTATGTGTTGGACAGCTTCAGGTTGCCCATCCACCCGCGCCGGTGGTCCATGGGACCGTCGCCGCGGCGGTCCACGAACTGTACGCACCCGAGCACCGTACGCGGCCTCGGCATGGGCCAGTCCTTGAACTCGACTTGCTGCACCTTCACCGACACCTCGCGCCACACCCGCTGCCTGACCCCCTGGCTGTTGCACTGCGCGCCCACCACGCAGGCGTCCGAGCTCGAAGCCGAAGGTCCCTTTCCACCAACGTAGTCCGACGGCGTCTCGTCCGTGCGCAGGCGCTCCACGAGGACCCTCTCGGTCGAGCAGGGAACCGGCTCCAGCCCCATCCGCCCGTCGGGCGAGATCAGCGCGTCCGACGGCATCGCCACATCGTCGCCGACCGTGACCCCCAGGGACCCGTCGGCCACGACGATCACCCAGCGGCCCTCGGGCGCGGCGGGCGCACGAACCTCACGGTCGCGCTCCCTCGGGGTGAGAGTCCCACGGACCTTCCCCGCCGCGCCCGCGTCGACGATCGGGCCCGGCACGGGCTCGACGCCGAGGTCTCCGCCGCCAGCTCCGTCAGGTGGGTGAACCACTGGGCCGCGGCGACACTCCCCCGAGTTGGCCACGCAGTCGGTCTCGTCCAGCAACCTCTCCCCCCGCCGTCTCTGGGGGAAGGCTCCGAAGTTGCAGGGGCTCTTATCGACGATCTCAATCGGCACGCCCCTCAGCACCGTCTCCCACGCCACCGTCACTATGTCGAGGTTCCAGTAGGGCTGCAAATCCACGAAAGGCACCCAACAGCTGTACGACGCCACGTCACACGAGCACTCTTCGCCTGCCTCGCAGGCCGAACACGAGGGCGCTTGGGGACACTGGGTCGCGTGGCACGACGGGCGCGGCAGGTCAGGGCAGTGCAGATTTGGGCAGGGAAAGATCGCCGGGCACGAGAAGGTCGGGCAGCTCGGCACCAGCGGGCGCCGCAACAGCCAACCGTGAGTCGCCTGTGAAATACCGGCGACAACTGTGACCAGCAGCTCCGATGCCATCCGTCGCGCGCCAGAAAGCGCGCTCAGCCTTGAGCCCAAACGGGTAAGGACACGGAGAACAAGGGTCATCCTCACGGATTCAACGGCCATCCTGATCGACCTCTGCTCAAAGCTAGAACGATACCCAGGTGATCTACCAACATACATACATACATACATACATACATACATACATACATACATACATACATACATACATACAGACAGACAGACAGACAGACAGACAGACAGACAGACAGACAGACAGACAGACAGACAGACAGACAGACAGACATACATACATACATACATACATACATACATACATATTATCATACGCACAAATCCGAGGGAGTAGAGCTCAGAGCCGATTAATTGAAGGCGAGGTCCGCGATGTTTCTGGCCGTTTCGCTAGGGACATCCTCGAAATTCTGAAAATCGGTGGCGCCCCTCACGCAGATCGTGACATCAGGGTCCAAAAAACACATGGGAATTTCAACATTCTAACATAAAACCTTCAATAACACATTGTAATTTCAATGATTATGACCCCGATTCTCAGAGAATGGCGATTTCGCCTGAGACATCCTCCCAAAATCGAGCCCCGACGTACCTTCTGGTACCCCAGACCCCGCCTCGGAGCCTCTTGGGAGCCTCCTGGGACCTCCTGGGGCATCCTGGGGCTTCCTGTACCTTCTGGTACCCCAGACCCCGCCTCGGAGCCTCCTGGGGGTCTCCTGGAACCTCCTGGGGCCTCCTGCGGCCTCCTGGAGCCTCTTGGGGCATCCTAGAGCCTCCTGGGGTCTTCTGGGGCCTCCTGAGGCCGCCTGGGGCCTCTTGGAGCCTCCTGGGGCCTCAGAACTACATGCACACACAGAGACACAAATCACACCCAACACATCACACGCTAGACAAACATCACACACAACACCTACAACGCACAGAAAACACGCACAACACAAAGCACACATCACACACACACACACACACACAACACTCACAATCCCGGGGCCTCCTGGAGCCTCTTCCGGTATCCAAGTCGGGCCTCCTGAGGTTTCCTGGGGGACCCTGGTACACACATCGCACGGTGTGGCAACCCCACTTGCGCTCGAGTGCGACCTCGATCTTAGATTCTTCTGCGTTCACCTCCTGCCTCTTCCCCTTCTCTTAGGCACGCCCTGGCGGCACCGCCCCAGCTTCCCCTTCTCCATCTCCGATCCTGCAGTCATGGTGTCTTCCTGCTTCAAACGCCCTTTCAGTTTTTTTGGTATGAGCCTGGGCACACACGTGCCACTTATACATATATATATATAAATATATATATATATATATATATATATATATACATATACATATATATATATATAATGTACTGCCTCGCATGGGCTGCATCGCACGCATTACACCACATGGACTGCACCGCAAGCAGTACAAGAGACCATGTGTTTAGGGGTCCTCGCTGGCTCACATGTCAATACGTTGGAGGCCTGAGAAGGCAAGCACCAGGACAAGGCAGAATGCGCAACCCGCCCCTCGGATCAAACCCCCTCCCCCGCCCGCGCGCCCGCCGCGGCCCTCCCCCGCGGGAACCCCGACAAAACGGCCCAGCCCAGGCCAGAATGCGATGGTCGGCTCGACCCTGAGATCCGACGTTGCAGGGGGAAAAAAAAAAAAAAAAAAAAAAAAAAAAAAAAAAAAAAAAAAAAAAAAAAAAAAAAAAAAAAAAAAAAAAAAAAAAAAAACACGACTGGAGCCCCAGCCCCCATCTCTCTGCGGCGCTTTCGGAACCAGATCGCTCCGCGACGGCCCCTGGGGCCCGCAGCCGGGCGAAGACGCCCAGCGTGAAAGACATACACCGCCCAGGGCTCAGGGCACGCAGAGGTCACCCTTTCCGAGGGTGGCCTCGGGCGCGCTGCCGCTCGCGAGGGGAGGGGGGGGGCGCCCTGCCAAGAGATCGGGAGGTGCTGGACGGGGGGCGCCCTCGGGCGCCTGGCCTGGCCCCGCACCAGAGGTCACCCTGGCGAGAAGGGCGCCTCTGCGCACCGCCGAAGGTCGGCGGGCCGCCCGCGCCTGTTTTCGGGCGCTCGTGAACGGGGACTCGGACTCGGACTCGGACTCGGCTCCGCGCGTGTGGCGCCGTGAAGGCGCGGCGGAGGGGGCGCCGCGGCGCCTGCAGCGGAAGACGTTCGCAAAACGAATCGCCTTGGAAAACTATGCATGTGAGGCGTCGGAGGAGGAGGAGGAGGAGGAGGAGGAGGAGGAGGGGGAGGAGGGGGAGGGGAAGGCATGACAGTTCGTGAACGGGGGGGGAAAGTCCACGTGGGGCGAAGAAACGCGCGCCTCTCCTCTCGCTCGTCTTCGGGGCCCGCGGCCGCAGGTGGCTGTCGCACGGGCCATGGTGGCCCCTCTGCGGCCGCTCTCCCGCAGTCCTCGACTCCCCCTCACGTCCATGGCCCCCCGGGTGCCGTCCGCCCGATTCTTAGCGGAGCAAGGTCAGCCCCAGCAGGGGACCGCATGCGAGCCCTACCCCTAGCCCACACGATTTCTGAGACGGAGGGTGGGGTTCACTTCGCTCGGGAGCTCCCGAACGGAACGAACCCCACCCTCCCCCTCAGAGATCGTGGGGGGTAGGGGTGGGGTTCGCATGTGGCCCCCTACCCAGCAAGTCTGGCGCAGATCAGAGGGGCCCACCTTCACCTGCCGAACCTCCTGCTTCGGAAACAGCTTCTTGAACTCCTTCACTGTCTCATCCTTGGAGGAAGCCGGATTCCCAAGTGCCAAGAGAGAGAGAGGATGGAAGGAGACAGAGGGGCAAAAAAGAAAGGCAAGCTAGGTGCGCTTGTGTCTCTTCTGGTGTCCGACCCCACCCTCCAAACCTCCATTGCATATTTGTCATACCCCACACTAGCCAAGTCAGCAGTCTTTGCTTTCTTCAAGGAAGCCGTCCTGCACAACTCGAGCCCGCTTCGACGCCAGCTGGGCCGTGTCTTCCACAAGAAAGGTGAACAGAACGGTATCCTCGAGCAGGGCCCGCGCGACGGTCGACAAACACTAGGCGGATCGCCATATCGGCGATACGCTAGAGTGCCCCAAGATGCCTTTCGGGAGAACTGAAGGAGCGACACTTGCCAGCAAAGGAAATGCAGGAAAAGAAGGCAAGATGGTCTTAGGGGAGACAACAGGGAAACGGCACCACATAGAAACGGCACAAGGAGGAGGAGGGAGGAGAAGAGGGGAGGATAGATAGGCGCGTTCCACTACTCGCAAGGTAGCTACTCGCAAATGGCCTGGATCCGCCACTGGGGATTTACGATGTATTACACAAAGGCAGTCGTGTGGTTTTCTTACGTTTGCGAGTAGACACTTTGCGAGTAGTGGAACGCGCTCGGCGAGGGGAGGAGCTGAGGCCAGCCAACCCTCAAACTCGCGAGGCCGCTGATAGCCGCAAGACCTGCCAATGTCATGCACGGGCAAGCGGGCCAGGAGGAAGGGGACCACAGGGGCCACAGGACAATGCTGCTTCAACACGGTGCACGTAGAAATCCAAAAATCCACCCCCATAATAACCACCCCGACGCGCGAAGTCGTTTAGTAAGCGCACCCAAAGAAGGAATCGAACAGGGCAAGGCTGTTTAGTAAACGCCCAAGGCCGTTTCCTAAACGCCAAATGTTCGGTCTGGGTGGATTTTCCCCCCTTGAGTACTAGCCTGGTGGAGCAGGGGGAGGGGAGGGCCACGGGGGGCAACGCCAGTACGCAGAGCACACACAGAGAAGGAGGAGGAGGCGGTGGAGGAGGAGGAGATCGCGGACAAGAAGTTCGTGTTTCAGACCCGCGCTAGTTCGGGCATGGCAGTACAACGGAGCGAGCCTCAAGTTCAATCTCCTCACTGATGTACTGCTGCTTTGACACGGCCGCGGGGTTTGCAACGGACAGCTGGAGATGTTCAGAAGAACTCATGGCGCGCCAACGCGCGTGCACGGTGGTCTGAGGCCCCCACGAAAACCGGCTCCCCGCGCGCCACGATCACCACGTTCAGCCCCTGCGACAGCAGCTTCCTGCGGCGGGGGCAGGCCCGAGAGGAGGTAGGTCGGCGCTCCTTCTCCCCCTCGCCTCCTCCTGCTCCTCCTGCTCCTCCTGCTCCTCCTGCTCCTCCTCCTCCTCCTCCTCCTCCTCCTCCTCCTCCTCCTCCTCCTCCTCCTCCTCCTCCTGCTCCTCCTCTCCTCCTCCTGCTCTCCTGCTCCTCCTCCTCCTCCTCCTCCTCCTCCTCCTCCTCCTCCTCCTCCTCCTCCTCCTCCTCCTCCTCCTCCGCTCCTCCTCCTCCTCCTCCTCCTCCTTCTCCTCCTCCTCTCCTCCTCCTCCTCCTCCTCCTCCTCCTCCTCCACCTCATCCTCATCCTCATCCGCATCCTGCTGTTCCCGCGCGTGCTCTTCCTGCTCCTACTCCTCCTGCTCCTCTTCCCCTTCGTCTACCTTCCCTCCACCCCTCCCTCCCTCTGAGGCGAGCAAGCCATCCGCACGCCGACACCGTGCTGCAGCTGTGTTGGAGCAGGTGGCGCTCCTCGCGCCCTAGGCCCTCTCTTTTCGAGAGCTCACTGTCGGGGATGGACGGACCTCCCTTTAGCAAAACGTGGTGCAGTGAAAACGACCTCGGGCCCAAACCTGGCGGGCGCAGGCCTGGAAAATGACGGCCGCGGCGCCCTCTCGAGAACCGAAAAAAGGACAATTCACGAATCGACGTGTCGGGGTGGGGGTTCTTTCCGCCCCCGATCTCTTCGAGGGCTCACTGGCAGCTCCCGCGGGGCCCGCCACCAGCCAGAGATCAGCAGAGGTTGAAAAAGCGAGGCTGCCCATCGTCGGGGCGCGCGGGGTGGAGCTCGCACCGCCTCCGCGCGGTGGGAAGGAGAGGCGGCCTGCGCCCTTCTCCCTCCGAGCGGTCCTGCGGGGCGCCGGAGACTCGCCATCGCTCGGACGTCCGTTCCCCGTGCGCGCTTCGGTTCCGTGCGCGTTTTCCCTCGCGAGATGATCCAAGCTGCTCCTCGATGGTCCTCGCCGAGCAGAGGATGCGCACGTCCGAGCGATGCCGAGGAGAGGGGCACCACAGTCAAGGGCGAGGCACGAGGCGCCGGCGCCTCCCTGCCGGAGCTGCCCGGCGCCGCCGCCCCCGCCCCGCGGGCGGGGCCTCCGACTGGTTGGCGGCGAGCGCGGGGGGGCCTCCTCCTCCTCCTCCTCCTCCTCCTCCTCCTCCTCCTCCTCCTCCGCCTCCTCCTCCTCCTCCTCCTCCTCCTCCTCCTCCTCCTCCTCCTCCTCCTCCTCCTCCTCCTCAGAAGGCTCGGAAGTCCCCGGGCCTCCTGTCTGTGTCCGCGGCGCGGGCCCCTGGAAGCCCAGATCCCACACACGCGATGGCGCGGGCGTGCTCCGCTGCTCGAGCCGTGTGCGCGGCCTCAGCAGGGGCAGGGCACGCAGGGCGGAGGGAGCGGATAGAGTCAGAGGACGAGGACGAGGACGAGGACGAGGACGACGACGACGACGACGACGACGACGACGACGACGACGACGACGACGACGACGACGACGACGACGACGACGACGACGACGGCGGCGGCGGCGGCGGCGGCGGCGGCGACGGCGACGGCGACGGCGACGGCGACGACGGCGATGACGACGCCGCCGGGGAGAGGCGCTTACTGCCCGAGGCTCACAGCGACGGCCTCGCTGGACAGCTGCCATCACGGCACCTCTCAGCCAGCGGCCCTGGGCCATCGGCCACCGAGCCCGATCAACTTGCTCGGCGCTGGCGTGCCGTGCGGCGGGCCACACCTCGGCCTACCTTCCCGCCAGCCTCCGTCGGCGGGGTAGCCCTCGGTCTGCTTCCGCCCGGCTCCGCCCTGCCCTCTGCTCGGTCCCGCCGGGAACGAGAGGGTAACCCTAGGCGGCTTCGACGGCGAGGCCTTTCCCAGATCGGTCGTGAGTCAGGACTGCAGGTCGAGCGACCCTCGGAGCCCCCGAAGCACCCGCCAGACTGCTCGATCACCATACAGCAGGCTCGCCGAAGCGTCACACCTCCCCCATGGAGCCCCGCTACAAGGCAACCCCCTGCAACGCTTACAGGCAATGCCCCGCTCAGAGCGAGCGGGGCATGTCCTCCCTCCTCCTCCACGTGCTCCTCTTTCTCCTCGCTCGCTCGCTCGGAAGGGTTGTACAAGATGTCCATGCCGGAGGGAAAAACAAAAAGGGGGAAAAGGCGTGCACCGAATCAAATGAAAAGATTGGCCCGCCAAGGGATACACCCCCGAGTCGGTCCCCCCACCGCGCTGGGCACAGGGCCGCTACAGGCCCCAGCCACAACCAGGCAAGGACGCAAGGGTGCTGCAGGAAGCGGGCAGGAGTGCATGCAGGAGCGCACGCGTCCCGGGGAGCACACCAGTCCTACCCTCCCTCCCTCCTCGCCCCTCGCCCCTCCTGAAGGGTCAGGCATGAACGACGTGCAGGTGGGCAGCAAATGTAAGGAGGCACCCGCGGTCGGGTGTCCTGGCCAGCTCTTTGCCAATGCCGGACGAGCCGCCTGGATGCCGCTTTCTCCGGATGGGACGAGGCTTAGCTGATTTTTCGCATGTGCACGGTGATGCCACCATCGTTGTCATCGTCGTCGCCATCGTTATCGTCATCATCACCACCACCACCACCACCACCATCATCATCATCATCATCAGCAGCAGCAGCAGCAGCAGCGACAGCATGAGCAGCATCATAATCATCCTCAGCAGCATCAGCAGCATCAGTCTCACCACAACCACCACCACCACCACCACCACCACCACCCTCATCATTATCCTCATCACCAGCATCATCATCATCGTCGTCATCATCATCGTCATCCTCATCATCATCATCATCATCATCATCATCATCATCATCATCATCATCATCATCATCATCATCATCATCATCATCATCATCATCATCATCATCATCATCATCGGCAGCAGCATCATCAGCATCGTCGTTGTCACCGTCCTCATTCACCCAAGGGAGATTATGATACCATTCCCCTGCGTCTCCAACAGCTGCACTCTACAACAACAGGTCAATATCTTTGCAGCATCGGCGTGCAAATCGCAGAGCCATGTCAAGGGTCGGAGGGGATCTCGCGCAAGGCCAGCGGTCCTGTCACCAAGGCCCAAGTCGCGCCGTATTTCTTCTTGAGGTCTTGCACGCCGAGTACGCGAGGTACCACGCAGTTCAGCAGCAGATACATGCAGGGCGCAAGAAGTAGGAAGCATACCAAATAACCGAGCATGGCTGTGGCCAGGGGGGTCCGCTACCGCAGGCGCTGCTCTCTCGGGAGGCGGCCGACATTTTGCCACGACCGTAGCCATGCCTCAGGCCCCTAGCTGCAAGGGTGTCTGGTGTGAGGTGAAACATAGAAGTTGGAGAGGTGAAGAAAGAGGGAGACCGAGGAAAAGGAGGAGGAGAAGGCAGCAGTAAGAAGGGAGAGGGGGCCAAAGGGTGGAGTGAGGAGGGGTGGGCGAACAAGGATGAGGGAGGCGAGGCGATGGAGGATGGGGAAGGGAGGAGGGAGGATAGGAAGCAGGATATCAAGGGAAGAAATAAAACAGGGATAAACGAGGGAGAGCAAGAGAAACAGAGAGGGAGAGAGTGACAAAAAGCATAAACTAAGCAAGAAACCGATGTAGAGAGAAAAAAAAAGGCAGGATAAGGATTATGCAGCTTTGGGTTATCGCTGTCTGCACTGGATGTCGCGGAGCAGGAGGGGGAATTAGAAAAAAAGGGGCGGAGCAAGGGGGAGGAGGATGACGAACGAGCGGCAGGAAGGCCGGAAAATCGAGGAGCAGGGACCGAGGAGAAAGAAGACGGGAGAATCGAGAGAGGACGACGGAGCAAGGAGAAAAGAAGGCCACGTGGAATTGACACCAGATCAGCGCGACTGCGCCACGCCGCACAATGGCGGCGAAGTCGCGAAGCGAAGGGCTGCACAGCATGGGGGCCCTCGACCCGTGGAAACCGAGGCAGACGGCCTCGGCGCGCTTGGCCCTCCGACACGGCGACACTCGACGACGGGCCCGCGCGACGGAAGCTGCCGAGCGGTGGAGGGCATGCACACTCTGCGCGCAGCCGCGCGACGCATGAGAATATGTGCCTGTGGGGCGGGGGTGGGGGCGGGGGGGGGGAAACCGACCCTGCGAAGCCGCCAGGTAAGACCAAATTCGAAATTCAACACGCAAAACTCTTTTGGGTGGTGGATAGTTACGAACTATGTGAAGGTCGAAACGTATCAATCTTGACAAAATCGATATGGGTTTTGACTCATAATTGGATCGGAGCACCGATTGGTGGTAACGCAGCCCTGCAGTCGAACAGGATGATGGAAGTCCGCATTGGCGGCTCCTGGGGGGCAGCTAACAGCCAGTGCGGCATTTCAAGGTTCAGTTTACGGGAGGCCCGCACTGGCCGCCAGAAGCTTCCCGAGGCTACCACGGGCCTCCCGTAGTGGGCAGCAGCAACCACCGTGGCAAGCAGCAACCGCCCCGCGGAAAAACCAAAGGGCACCCGACGGGGCGCCGCCCCTGGACTGTGGGGCACGAGAAGAGCCAGCGTCCGTCGGAGGCCGATGGAGCGACCCTCGCGCGTGCGCCTCCCGAAGATCGGATCGGATAGGAATCACGACCCGCGCCTGCCGAACTGTTGCCGAGGGCGAGTCTCTCGGCAGAGGCCCCCCGAGGCGCGGGCGCAGCAGCGAGACTCTGACCGGCGAGCGGTGCGCGGTGGTGCGCCAGCAGAAGCCTGAGAGTGGCGGTCGGGGTGTCGCCCTCGTTCGTGCTCGCGCGAAGGGAGGCGCTGGCCACGAACTCCCGGACCGCGGCATGGGCGCGGCGCACGTGGGTGAGCTTCGCCATCGCGCGGGCGACGCCGCCCGAAGGCCGCGCGCACCGGGCATGCATCGACTCGCCGCGCGTGGCGAAGAGCCTCGCCTGGCTTGCCGGCCGGCAGGCAAGCAGGCAGGCATGGCGGCCGCAGCTCCGAGCTGGGCAGTGCGACGCGACGTGCAGAGCCTGCCGCCGACTCAAGCCGCGCGGCGTGCCTGCACCCCGGGTGCGACCCCCTCCCGCTTCATAGGGGAGACTCGGCGGGGCAGCGGGGGCGGATTCGTCCGTGGCCCTTCGTGGCCATGCGATTCGGCGTTGCGGCAGGTGCGAGCCGCCCTCTCTGCGATGGTGCGCGCTTCCGTGGCATCGCCGCAAGGTCGTCGGTCGCCTCACCTCGAGCTCAGTGGCGACCCGCTCTTCGACGCGCTTCCGGAGGGCCTCGGCGCTCCTCGGAGGGGCAGGAGGGGAAAGGGAGGAGGGGGAAGGAGGGAGAGGCAAAGGGAGGAAGAATGAGGGAAGGAGGGAGAAGCAGGAAGAAGCAGGGAAGGAGGGCAGGAGGGAGAAGAAGGTAGAGGCAAAGGAGGAAGGGAATGATGGAGAAGGAGGGAGAGGCAGGGAGGAGGGAGGAGGAGGGAAAAGGAGGGAGGTGGGGAAAGGCAGGGGGGACGAAACACGTAGGTACTGATCCCAGACCCCATGGGGCCGACGACCCCCCAGGGACAGGTAATTACAACGGTGCACGAGCCCCAGCGAGCTGGGGCAGGATCTGTACGACATGCCTGTCTGTGGGAGATCGTCGGCACCACAGGGGGGATGTGGACAGTGTCTTTCGTCTTGTGTGCTCTTCCGAAAAGGTATTCCCTCCTCGTCGCACCACCAGGCTATCTAGCAAGGCGGTCCAGACGTTTCGCTTGGGACTGGTATACGCTCAGACTCATGGACATGGAAATGTGCAGCACTCACCTACACGGAGAGAGGGCGGGTCCTTGTCAAAATTGCCACTCGTTCCAAACTGCGTCGAATGCTGCTCTGGAAGTCAATATGAATGCTTAAAAGATTTACGATTGGAAGGAGGGCCGTTTCAAAGCTGAGTTCTCGCTCGAAACTTCCCCGCGTTTTCTGGCTTTGTGACCCTACAGATACATCCCCAACGGCTACACCATGAAAGGCAACTCCTTTTCGAAATCCGGGTCTCGCCAGCAAATGTTTTGCATGTCTTGCCCTGGAGCTTGACGTCTCCTGTAGCTAAATAGAGCGAGGCCAGCTCATTTCCAAAACCGCACCTCCCCCGTGGCGCCACGGCGCCGCGGACATACTTCAAAGCTTGTGCCAGCTGCATGGATGGAGGGCGACCACCTCTCAACCGCAGTATGCTTTGCCATTGTGCGGCCAAATCTTGAGCTGGCCATTGATTCCATGGTCATTGAACTAAGCTCTGGGTTTTCATCACTCCTGCGCCACCAGAATCCTCCACCGTGCCTGCGAGGCATGAGTTGGACTGTTCTTAAATATCTTGCTCAATCCCCTGAGACTCAATCACCGGGCCACACGTTCTCAAATCTCCCGAGGCTCACGGTGCGCTCGGGGCACCTTCCCGCATGACTTGTTCGGGCCCAACAGGCCCAAAGATGTTCCAAGAGGGCTCTGACATACAGCGAAGGTACGGCGGCGGGACGGGCCAAAGGCCACTACGTAGATCCGCCGCCCCCTGATGGCTTACCACAGGGGTGCACGGCGTGGCAAACGTTAGGTAGTTTTTGGTCCTTTGTTCAGCCCATCCCGCTGGCCACCCAGAGGGACTTGTCTGTTCGAGTCGTCGTCTCCGTCAGCCGTCGTCTCCGTCGTCCCCTTTCCCAGCGCCCTCCTCCTCAAGCCTGACAGCGAGAGAAGATCTAGCAATCAATGTCGCAATCGAGTCGGAGGGAACCTCCTTCCCTTTGATTCCCTCCCCGTCGGGGGGGGGGGTCCTGGGGGTGTCCCGGGGGAGGTCCCGGGGGGGGTCCCGGTGAGGTGGGGGGGTCAGATACGCATTCCCCCCTGGGGGTCCCGGGGCCTCAGACAGTGTCAAGACGGGCTACGCCGCTACGCCCGCCAGACTGCCCAAGAAGCCTCCAAGACGCCCCAGAAAGCCCCCTAAGAGCACTCCCAAGAGGGCCCCACGAGGCAAAAATCATTGATGTTGCTTGGGTTTATTAGGATTTGGGCAGGACAGGGGACAGGAATTTTCCTCGTCCCGCCGCTCTACGGCGGCCATAGAGGCCCGCAAGATCGCCCCAAGACGGCCCAAGAGGCCTCCAAAAGGGACGCGAAACAGCCCAACAGGACCCCAAGACAGCCCAAAACGCCTCCAAGACGGCCCAAGAGGGCCCCTAAGACGGCTCCAAGAGCGTGCCCAGACGGAGGACCCGAACGGACATTTCGAGCCCTCGGCCCCGAGAGACTCCCAAGAGGCCCCAAGAGGTTCCGGAGATGCCCCAAAAAGACCCACAAGAGGTCCCCAGGTAGACCGAAGAGGCTCCCTAGATGCTCCCAAGAGGCCACAAAGTCCTCCCCTAAGGCCCCCGAGAGATTTCCAAAGAGACCCCAAGAAGCATCCCTGAGGACTCTGGCCCACGTCAGCTTCGTCGTCGTCGCCGCCGCCGCCGTCGTTATCATCGTCGTCCCCCTTCAGGGTCGGCGGCACAGGACGTAAGACCCTCGCAGTACGTATCCCATTGCCCACGGGCGGTGGCGGGATGGGCCGAAGGCCACTACGGACAGGAAGGTGTGCTCAGCGTGTCGCAGCAGCGGCCCCCGCGACATGCCACGCCTTCCAAACGGGTAGCGTGCTGCTGCGCTCCTCAGGGCTGGATGCTCGGAACGGCTTGGGATTTTGACGCCTCTGGACTGGGAACTGGACAGCGAGTCGCGCCGAAGCGAGGCGGGCCAGAATCGGCAGAGCGACACGCGATCCCAAAGCTCACCCCCAGGGTCGTGCCTCGAGGGCTCCGGGGGCCTCCGCAAGGGAGGGCCTTCCTCGCCTGGATGGCGGCCGCGTGCGGTGGACTGGCACAAGGCGGGCCGCGGGGCGCGGCGACCTGCCGCGGAGGGATCCAGCAAGGAGGCGCCGCGCGTCGGCGAGAGCGCGCCCGGCGGGCTTGGGCCAAAACTGTTTCAGCGTGATCATGTTCCTCCGCCTCTCCTCCCTCCCCCCTCATCCCTCACCACCCTCTCCTCCCTCTTCGTCCCTCCCTCCCTCCCACCCTCCCTCCTTCCTTCCCTCCTCCCTCCTCCCTGCTCTGAGACTCATCTCTCTGATGATGGCGATGGCAGCGATGAAAGGACAAAGGTGTAGTGTGTGGTGTGAAATTGGCGGATATGCGCTTTCCTTTGCTCGGGTTCGAGCGCTCTGAGCCTTAATGACTACGGACGGAAGCCTGGCACTTCCAGGAGAGACGATATACCGTCTCACACTCCTCTTTGCCTGGGCTCCCGTCCGCTCACAAGATACG